TATATATATATATGTGTATGTAACCACGGAACAAGTAGTTCTGCATCATTTACCAAATTGCGACATGCCAGGATTCAACCTCACGACACGTTGTCCCGCCTCAAGAGTCCACACAATGTACTTGTCACCTTACCACCTGAGCTATCGATCCTACAAGCAACATGAGTCTAGCGAACTAGGCTTGTTTCATGTTGCGAGGACACTCGTGGCGTTTGTATGCTCAAGGATTAATTTCAGCCTTCTGTTTGAATACCCGATGAAAATAGGTAAAACACCTAGCCTCTTTCAAGTGTTTACACATGTATCTTCTGAAGATGTGTGTGTGTAAGCACATGAAAGCGCTCAGATGTATCTAATCACTTACATGTAATTTGGCCTGAAAAGAAAATTCCAAGCGATTTCGTGATGTACCAGTCACACTCTCTAGGAACTGTATGGAAATTCATGCGCATTTTCATCGAAAACATTCGAGATACGATGGCCGGTGCCACGAGTATTTCGCTGTAGAGTGCCGGAAGTTCGTGGTGCCAAAGTTAGTATAGATGCTGTTGGTTCCTGGCAGCTGTTGGAGCCTCACTGAACAAGACACAGCTGAGGCCGAACTTATAGCATCCCGAGGAGGTTCTTCGGAAGATTAGCCTGCCAAACCAACTTTGTTACCTTCCAGATTGTTACTGACTCTCTTGAAGGTGTGGGATCCTGAAGATGCTGGGCTCCTGATTGTTCTGGGCTCTCAGAGGTGCTGAGGCAATTGAACGTGCTGGAACTCTGAAAGTGCAAGCTTTCTTGAAGCCCCTGGAACTTCTGAAAGTGTTAGATCTACTAAAGGGGCCGTGGCTCTTGAAGTTGACGTGGCTCCGGATGTTGATGTGATTTCTTGTCTTGACGTGCTTTTTGAGGTCGCGTTGACTTCTGATGATGTTGAAGTTCAAGAAGGTGCTGGGACTCCTGAGAGTGCTGAGGCTACTGAAAACAATAGGGGCCCACGAAGGTGCTAGGACTCCTGAATATGCTGGGGTGTACTGAAGGTGTTGGGGCTTCTGGAGATGCTGAGGTTCTTGAAGGTGCTCAGGACTCCTGCGGCCTCTGAAGGTGCTAGGGCCTCTGCAGGTGCTAAGGTCCCTGAAAGAGCTAGGGCCCCTAAAGGTGCTAACACCTCAAATATGCTCGAGTTTCTGAAGAAGTCATGGCTCCTGAAGAAGCAAATCAATTAGAATCTAACATCAGCAGTCAGTATTGTGTGTCAGGAGACATGTGAATATTTATTCAGACGCGGGTCTTAATCTCAGTATATTTTAAATTTACCAGGAGAAATATGCATATTTCTCCTAACGTGGACCTTAGTCACATAATGACTCTGTGGAACTTTTTGTCATATGTTGGCTTCCGGTCTACCTTGTAAAAAAAAATATCACAAATCACTTTATGACGACGTTTCGATCCGTCCTGGACCATTCTTAAGTCACAACTGGGACGAGAGAGTAGAGAATGCAAAAAGACAATACGAGAAAGGGGACGGAGGAGGAGCAGCATCAGGAGGAGAAGCAGGAGCAGGAGCAGAAGCAGGAGGAGGAGCAGGAGCAGCAGCAGCACCAGCAGCAATAGAATTAATAGTAAACACAGTATTGTGATTTTATTCTTAAATATCACCTCACAAAATAAGCTACTAGTTACGAAACATTCCTCAAAAAAGCCTTAAACTTATGCATTAGTGTCTCATCTACATTTGATGACAGGATTTACTTCCCAACATATAAAAAAAACCACGCAGGCACACCAGCAAGCAACGCCATAGAATTGTTTGGCCTGCGTTACCAACGTTAATTTATTGCTTACTGCAGACTTAGTGATAATTACTGAGGCTGGAGCGTGCGTGCATAGTATGTTATTGTTGGTGAACATGCGAGTGCCTGCACCCACGGATGTACACCTGGGATTAGTGCAGTAATTAACCAGTAGATGAAAGAGAACACGGATGATGTCAGATCACTATCTTCCGAACTAGATTAAAATAATTTCTCATGGAGCCTATGCTGTTAGTTTACTCTGGATCAGACTGAAAAATATTTTGATACGTTTTTCTGAAAGGATTTTACTTGGCCAAAAAATGAATATCTTGTTTGCCAGTCTTTTATTTGGATTTTTTTGAAGGCGAAAACGTAAGAAAAAAAAAACAATTGTTTCTATTCAAAAATGCTAATAACCAAAATTTGTAATGGATGGGGGATAACGATTCTTTTTCGCGATTTGTCTTAACATTAGAATATAGATTTATATTTCAGTAATATTCAGTTGGACTTAAAGGGAAATGGGTGTTAAACTTACAGCCTTAATGAAAAGAAACATTATCTTTCAGCACGTCAAAAATTTTACGAAACACGAATGTAATCTATGAAGTGTTGTGCAGCGTAAAGAACTTGGTATAGTACACGTTTCTTGCCAGTTCAAAAATACAGTCCAGTTTTCGTTTATAGCCGCCGAAACTATTTTATTACATATG